AATCAGATCGTACTAGATTTATTGCAGCTGAATTAGATAATGTTTTTATTATTGCAGATCCTTCTGAACATCAGAAAATAGTAGTTCATCTTTTCTTTCAAAACACAAAGATTCGAGAATACTAAAGTTTTACTTTTATTCTTCAGCAAGGTAACGCATTCAGAATTTATTTCCTTATAAAGGTGGATGTAGTTTTTTGCTCGTAAGGAAGGTACTCAGCATTCATCTTAACAGTATTTAACACATATCCAGTTCTCTCTTTTTATAAAGCTGCTCGATATGCGATAGCCTCGGATAATACGAATACATAGCTTAAAGCTACGTGGAAATAACGCAAACCTGGAAAAACGCGTCTAAGATGAAAAAAATTCAAAATTCTTAAAAAAAAAAGAGACAAGTACTTATATATGAGCATTTCAGACGGCATAAATCAGAGATAAAATAACCATTAAGCAAAATAGGTCCACGGTTAGGGCATCAAAGAAAGGAGGCGCAACAAAAAGGTATTTAGGAACATAAGGAAAGGGGGCACAACAAAAAGGTGTTTAGGGGCACAAGAAAAGCAAAAAAGGCACTGCAAAAATTCCTCTTTGTCAGTTTTAGCATGGAATGTATGGTGAAGCCAAATGAAGGAATGCGGAAAAACAGGGGTAAATGTACCTGAGGACACGAAAATTTTTCAAGTGCTTAGGGCCTCTAAAAGTCTTATTCCGGTCCTAATTCATAACAACAGATGAAGCTTTTATCTATCTTTCAGATATAGAGTTCAATATATAAGTCTTTGCATAATGAGCAAGATTTCATTTCATCAACGTTAGTTTCTCATTCTAAAGGCATTATTGTTTCTAAGCGTATTTCTGTAGATAGCGTAAAAAGAAACTTTATTTTGTTCAACGACTAAAATCAATCCAAAATATTAAATACAGGAAACTTTACAATTTCTAAAACGAAATCTCCTTGGAACAAATCAGAAAAAGATTGGATTTTTCCATCAAAATTTGCTCCTTTACTCACATCTAAGATTCCTCTTAGATTAATATATTCATTTCACAAAGCCTCATTAATGAACGCTTCCTAACATAATTACCTCCTTGAGGGAGAAGCAGAATAGAATTAAGAGAAAGAAAAGTCTCCGCTCAAAGAGATCTTTAAAAAACTAGCGGAGAAGAGGTGATGAATACTCAAAGAATTTGTTAAGAGCTTTAAAATTGTGATTACTAGCATATAGTATAATGTTCTGTGCCAAAAGTAATTGTATTTAAAATATTTAAATTTATTTGTGAAGTTAAAAAGCTATGAAACTCTAGAATAGATTCTTAATTTGAAGGACTTTCATTAAAGTTTCCAGTGTACTGATTTTCATGCCTCTTCCACTACTTTTCACAGTCGATCAGTCATGATGGGTTTGGGCTTAGAAAAAGCTCTTTTCAAGAGACCAAAGACAATACTCCATATGTAAAAAGTCAAAAGACTTCTCAGGAGTACCTTAAGAAAGTAATGCAACACCTGTGTGAAGACTTCACTTTTCAAGGAATGCTGTGGTACATTCAGAAGCTTAATTTGCTTCTTGGCCTTTTGTTTTCCATCAACAAAAGGCCAAGAAGCAAATCAAGCTTCGGAAGTTTTCCTCTTCAAAATCATTGGGACAAAAAAAAATCGAATTTCTGTTATAAACATTGGATATACAACTTTTCTTGATAGTTCGTTGAGTTGATTTCAACAATTTTTTTACCACTCTTGTTTTTACTTTGACGCCCACTCAAAGAGATGTCTATGACAATCATAAACCACTTACTGAAACTTTTTTTGTATTGAGGGAGCTAGGTTTGTACATTTTTTTCCTCTTCGCTTTCCATAACAAATGGACCTTTTTTGGCTGCAGTCATTTAGGTAAACCCATGTTTCATCAAGGATCACAGTGTGTTTTTTATTTATCTCCTGCTAAATAGTATTCATACATTATTCTAAAATTGTTTGCGTTGAGCCACAACTCTTTGCAAAACTTAAGCAACGAATTCATTTTTCAACATGCAACATACAAATTGTTTGAAAAGGACATTTTGTGATCAGAGCAAAAACAAAACAAAAAAAAAAAACAAAAAAAAATCAAACTCAGTAGAAATGTGAGTCACGTGCATATTTCAGCACCCCGACATCAGAAGATACATCAGAGCACGCAAAACGTGAGGAGTCAGAGCGCGCAGTGCAAGGCAACTTGGAAAGAGGAAAGAATTTTCAGGCATTCTTTTGAAAGTGAAAGTGAGTGTACATGCAACATGGCTACAAGAAGATATCAGGATGCCTTGAAATGTGGTAGAATGATAGGCAAGCTTGAGAGGGTGTAGTTTGACGTCTGTTGCCCAAGAGTTTGGAAGTGATAAAAGTGTTGTTTCATGAGCTCGAAAAGCTTTCTAAAGAGCAGATACAGCTGTAGGAAAAGCTGATGGTGCTCAGGCAAGGAAGACAATGGTGTGTGATACCGATGTATCGTCCTGCAGGTGAAAAGAAATCGAAACCAGACAGCAGACAATATTACTCAGCAGTTGCGCAGGGCAATCGAAAGACAAGTCCCCGTTCATTGTCACTAGATGACTTCATAAAGTGGCCATTTCGCCCTCCGCCCTGAGCGCTGCTCATACCATTGACATTAGCTCATGGGCGATACCGTTTACAGAAGTGTAGAGAACAACAAAGACTGGATGCCTTATGAAGGCACGTTCTCTTTACCGGCACAAGTCTTTTCAGTCTGGCTAACGATTCTCAGTTCCCATTGATATGCAGAGAGGTAGGGACACACTTTCATTCCACTAATATCAGGAAAAGAGACCGTTGAATTGGTCGTGGTGTGCTTGTACGGAGAGGCGTTATGAAGAACGCTAGGACGGAGTCATAGATTTTCGACAGAGGTTCACTTACTAGAGATCGTTACTCTGATGAAGTTATTCTTCCTACGTGCGGCTTTTCCGCGGTGCCATATTAAGTCCCGACTTTGTTTTTACGGATGACGATGCACCGCAACACAGGACTCGTGCTGCTGAGATGTCCTTGGGAAGTGCAGCAGATATTCTCGAACTTGTTTGCCCAGTGTGCTTCCCCGATTTAAATCCCATTGAACATGTGTGCGATATTTTAGGGAACAGAGTCGTAGTTAGGGTTTTCAGCGCCCAGGGACAACTAAAGATTTCGCGCCCCCTACTGCTTGCCAAGGATGGAAAACATTTAATTCTAAAATGTCGTAACATCACTTTGGCGCCCCTTGGATTCTGCGCCCGGGTACAGATGCCCCCCTTGCCCCCCTCTAGCTACGCCCCTGTTAGGGAAACGTCTAGCGCCACGATTTTACCGTTTGGAGAAGACCAGACAACTGAAAAACATGCTTCTTGAAGAAAGAAAAGTCTTATTCCCAAGAACTGTTAGAATCTGATGTTAAGTATCGACAGACGATGGCAACGCAATCATTGCAGTTAGAAAACGTTATATCCTTAAGGCTGTTTGGTTTGTTCTTCCTCCTGATCAGACAGTTTTTTTATAACAATGCCGCTTTGTCAATAAAGCTTTTTCTATTCCTTCCCTTACTGTATGTGTCCTATTAACGTTTTTGCTACTATACTTTCCTCACCCGTACCTTTTTTCCTTATCCTTCCTTCTTACACATTATGCCTCTGTAGTGTGAATTCCATGTCTCCTGGTCGATTTCTTGAAGAATTAAGGCCAAAATAAATAATAAAAAAAAAGGTGCTTAAGTTTTTCACACTAGTGTAGTTTTAGTGTCACTATATTTTTTTTTTTTTTTTTTTTTTCCTAATGAGTTTATTGCTTTTCGTTGTATAAATTGTGCAATTATGTGTTTTTCGTTGTATAAATTTTGCAATTATGATAAATGTCCCATTCACTTTTAAAGGAACAATATCTTGTCCCAAGGCGGACTTACGGTTACCGGCACCTCGGTAAGTTTCTCGAATTCCCGATGGCCCCCATTCGCCCAAATTAAAGGACAGAATGAATCCGGATAATCTTCATTGCATACTGGCAGTATACTCGTAAACTAAACTAAACTGGGATTAAAATAAGATTTAATAAGAGCATTTGGAGAGGATGAAATACCGTAAGATCGACAAGTTAATACTTTGAGTTTAAACACGCTTATGGTTAGCAGTCCATGAAGTAGACCGGCAACTTTCAAAAGAATTTCTGAAATTTTTATGACTTCTTTCTTTTTATTTCAGCGTCATCATATAAATAAGACATGTCATTTTAATCTTTCTGGCCACATAAATCTTTCAATTGAGCATTCAAGAAAACTAGTAACACGAAGCATCAGTCTCTAGATTTCATATTAGTGGTGTAGGAACGGGAAAATAATTAAGCACATAATCAATTCATTAACTGATACAAAAATTTCCAATTTGACATAAACAAGTAATTTAGATATCTTGCCATCAAATAAAATGGGTATTATGTACCTAAATCACTTATACATAGAGAGACTTTAAGACATTGAATTTCGTTTTCGTGTGATATTGATCACAAACACTAATTATCCCCCCCCCACAGACACAATGCTTTAGTAACAGCAGTTTTAAATAAGTATATTATAATAATAATTTCGCCTAACTGTTTCTCATGAGTAATTTCCATAGAAAATATTACGCATCCTACGCGCTTTTTTTAAGAGGCAAGCTAACATTTTTCCCATTGAAAAAGATAAAATAGTAGAATTATTATAAAACCAATATAGATTCCTATTATAATTTGAAAGTTCTTTCCGTTTGCAGGAGCACGAGCAGGCGAGGAGCGTATATTTTTCAATTCCGAAGAAACTATCAATTTTTAAGAAAATAAATTTAGATGCTAATGAATAAAAATACTAGATGACATAAAGTGTATATAGCCTTTTAATAAAATTTTTATCGAAACATTAAAAATGAGTTAAGAAAGTACTAGAAGTCCAGTTTTTGGCGAAATTGCTCTACAGCTTCTGCACATTCCTTACATAATTCGACAGTTTGGCGAGGAAACGTTGATCCCGGTTGGTAACCCTGCAGAGATCCCTCAACGAGAAATTTGCTGTGTGTAAAGTTGGTGTGAAAGGCTAAATATTTTGTGGGTTCGTTTTGAATTTCGACGTATTCACATGAATCGATGTCATCTGATAAGAAAGGTTAGTTTTTTGGGGAATTCTGCATAGCTTTTAATGTATTTCAGCACGTTTTCAGTTGGCTGGTCGATTAACGGAAAGACTGAACGAAATAAAAAATGGTGTTTTCAGCGACTGTGTGACGAAGGGATGTGCGTGTATTTGTTTTTCATTTGACAACCTATCGCATTGTTTTAACCCACGATCATCATTACATAATTTATATGTAGTAATGTCACATTATTTCCCATTTACCACTTTTTATGAATTCTGAGTTGTTATATTGTATTAAAATACACTACTTAACGGTTTTTATGCGAATTGAAAAAAAGGATGTATATTGTAAAAGGATAATTTTCTCTTTTTATTATATTACCTGTCATTTATAATTTAATTTAATGAATCTTTTATTTACTTCAATGTATTTTAATGCTTTGTGATAAATCTAATACTTCTCAAAATTCATGTGGGAAAATGGGTGGGGTATCGAAATAGTTGGGTGTGGGATTTCGTGTGGGATCATTTAAGGTTTTTATTTTCATCCAGTGGTATTACTGCTTAAAATTTTTAATAATTTATAAATTTTTCAATGATGAAAGATGATATAAATATCATCGTAACTTATCACTTTGAATTTCCATCAGAATGTACTTCTGTAATTTATACCTGTGTATTATTTTATTTGTATTAAAATAACGTTATTTTAGTTTCATTTTTTTAAATTTTTACTATTATTTTATATGACTTGTTTGTTATATTTATTTCTCAACGATTCGAATTCGTGTTCTCTGCAAATAATAAAACATTATTTCAGTTCACAGTAAATTAACATAAATAAGGACATCTAAAAGAACTCTAAATCTTACAAAAAGTCATTATTTTGCGTAATTTTATCTATTTATGTAAATATTTTTATTTAGAAAAAAGGCAACCCTAAGTTGAATATGCATTATAATTATGCTTTTGTTCTTTATGTATGTTTTTTAGACTTTTATTTGAAAATTCAATGTAAAGTTCTATTCAGTGTTTTGATACTTTTTTTTTTTTAGACTTTTGTGACTAACTTATATACAAAAATTAATCTTAACATATTCTTTTTTTTGTTATAGTTTAGAATGACCTTTATTATTTTTTGGTTATTTGCTATTTTGTAAGTTTTTTAGAATTTACTTTTAGCATGTGTTACTTATTTTAATTGTGTGAACAATTTTTTATTATCTGTAAAAGTGAATATTAAGTTGCTAAAACTATTTCACAAACTCTGAAATTTATCTGTTCATTAATTTCAAACAAGCTTATATGTGTGCTTTGAGTGAGAGGATATCATCTTTGACAATTGATGAGCCCAACAGTGGCCAAACAGATTTGAAAGCTAAATATTGGTCATTTGACTGTGTTCAAATCCTGCCAAATGGGCTGTTTCTATGGACATATTTAGCATTCTCCTTGTTTGTAACATGAATATAAGTTAGCTTTCCTTGGAAAGTCTTCCACAATGGCATGCGTCCTCATAGGCAGATAATTCTAGTGCATTTTCCCAAAATCTATAATTCCAGATCTTACCGAAAATATAGTAAACGTAAATGCATGGGACTAGAAATAACTTTTTTTCTAATTATTTGACAAAGGATTGTGGCTAATTATTTGTTTAAAAAATAGTGTGAATTTTGAAATAAAAGTATGTGTACTGCAATTGGGAAATTTTCATTTAAAAACAAAACATTCTTTCTTCTGTATAGAATATCCTGCAGTAGGAGCTACTGCTCCAGCTGCACAAGCATACATTGGTGTTCCAGGTGCTCCTGCTCATCAAGTTACTATGGCCACACCATATCCTGGTTATCCTGCTTCTGCTTATACTTCCCCTGCCTATTTGCCTTCATCGGCTCCAACGTATCTGCCTGGTTAGTATAATTTTAGCATTTAAATATTCTTAATGTCAGAAACAGAAGAATTCATAGTGCCTCATTTTTATGTATTTTTAAGGTAATTCGCATTTCTTTAATAAAAATACAGTCAGCATCATAATTTTAGCAGTATTTAATTAAAGGTAAAATTATGTTATACATCTGTGTCAGTTCAAAACAATTTTAAGACCTTTTTAAAATTGGACAAAACTGCAACTTTATTTTTGCTGTTTTGCCTAATTTAAATTTTAACGTTTGCTTGTTTTTCTTCCACTTTGATTTTTAAGTCTTGATATCAATTTATTAATAAAATTAAATTTGACTAAAATGTCAGTTACCTTTTATGTGCTATATTTTCTTGTGTTCAAGACTGTTTTAAAAAATGTATAAATGTCACTGCATATAGTTTACTGTTACTGTAGAGTAGCTCAGAATTGCCTTTTATTTACTCAGTAAAGAGCAAAAATAATTAGAGCCCTTTATTTAATAACGAAAAAAGTAATAGTTTCTAAAAAGAATTTTGCATTTTACATCCAGGTGATGTAATTTTTGATACAAACTGTGCATCCTGCACAACTATGGTACCAAAAGATAAAATGAGGCGAGTGACATTATGTAGAAATGCATACAGAAAGCTCAGTACATGATTTAGCTGACTATGATGAAAACTGCAAGTCTGCTGCTATATTAAAATGTGAAATTTCCATGGAAAGGGTCATAATCAGCAGTCCCACTTTGAAAACGTCTGGAGAAAAGGAAAGCTTTTTTTTGGGGTGGGGGATGCTGCATGCGTACATGGATTACCAAATAAATACTTTTGAGCAACATCATGGGTTACACCTTAAATACTTTTGGATGACATGATGTGGTGGCTCCTCAATACTTTTTTGTGACTTTTCAGTGGAGGTGCATATAATCAGAAAATACCTAATTTTGTGATAAATTTATAAGTTGTATTCCTTTAGCCAAGAATATAAAGCATAGGCAATAATAGTGATGTAAAAAATATGAAAAAATTAGCCTTGAATTGACATTGTCTTATTTAAAATAACTTTTTGTAAAACCAATTCCAAATTGATTTTTATCTTCTTTATTTTCTAGTGGTATATGTTTCTCTCATGTATAATACATATACAGTGTCTCACAAAAGTGATGGGACACTTGCGCTTTACAAAAGGAAACTGTAATAAAATAAATTGAAAAACAAGTAAAAATTTTTGTGGGTGTGTTTCATACTTAAATTTAGTAACAATTATTACATAACATATATTTTCTCAAAATATTAAAATATTAATTTAATAAAAATACAATTGTTTAAAACGGAGCAAAAATGGCTCACATAAGTGATGGGACACCATTAGATACTACTGCGTACTACAATAAAAATATTTTTTTGGGTTTTTATTTTTACTCAAAAGCAATTGGCAATAATCTGTAAAATCGTCTGCAGTATTTTTCTCCAGTTTTGTTTTGGAATTTTGTGTTTTTTAGCTCTGTGCAGCCATGAATGCTAAACGAAAAGAAACTTTGCCTGAAATTCGAAAATTAGTTATTAATTTGCATATTGAACGTGGAAAATCTATTAGAGAAACTCCTGAAACAGTTAACTCGAGTCATTCAACAGTTTACAATGGATTAATTGTTAAACCTGAGACTATTAGAAGAGTAATTCGATCTGCTGGCTATCATGGTAGAGCAGCCAGGAAAAAATTCTTCGTAAGTGAAAAGAATAGAAAACTCAGACTGGTTTTCGCAAAATCCAACATAAATAAGAATTCTGATTACTGGAATGAAGTTATATTTGCTGATGATGTAAATTTAATATATTTGGTTCTGACGGTAGAATCTTGGTGTGGAGAAAACCCAGGGAAGAATTTCGAAAACAGAACTTGGTGCCAACAGTAAAACATGGTGGAGGAGGAGTTATTGTATGGAGGTGTATGTCGTCCGCTGGAGTTGATACTCTTGTTTTTATTGACAGTATAATGGGTCATTACAAGTATATTGACATTTTAAATCAAAATTTGAAATCTTCAGTGCGAAAATTGAACTTTCATAGCGATTTTAAATTCTACCAGGACAATGACCCCACGCACACTGATTTGAACATTAGACTCTGGCTGCTGTATAACTATCCTGAAATTATAAAAACACCACCACAATCTCCAGACTTAAATCCCATAGAGAATATATGGCAATAATTGGAATCAAGAATTCGCAAACACACCGTTTCTTCAAAACAACAATTAAAATTGGTGCTTCAAGAAGAACGGGGTAAAATCACTCCAGAAATCACAAAAAAATTAGTCGAATCCATCCCAAGAAGATTAAATCATCTTTTAAAAGTAAAAGGAAATCCAACAAAATATTAAAACCTTTTAAAAAGTAAAATTTTTGGATAACTATTTGATGGAGACATAAGTGTCCCATCGCTTATGTGAGCCATTTTTTGCTCCGTTCTAAACAATTGTATTTTTATTAAATTAATATTTTGAGAAAATGTTATGTAATAATTGTTACTAAATTTAAGTATGAAACACACCCACAAAAAATTTTTACATGTTTTTTAAATTAATTTTACTACAGTTTCCTTTTGTAAAGCACAAGTGTCCCATCACTTTTGTGAGACACTGTGCATATGCTGTTATTTCAGTGTAACATTCAACTTTTCTTCTGCATACTGAAATAACACCTCTGTATTTGTTATTAAATTAATATCTGTGCAGTTTTTTACAAATAAGTAATACAAAATTTGGAATAATATGTTTGCTAAAATGTAAAAAAAATTAAATATAATTTAAGTATGTCGGTAATATGCAATTTGTATCCGGCTTTCTTTCCTTTTTTAAAAAAAATTTAAATGAAGTTATACCACTATATCAGTCTTCCCAAGTATTTATACAAAATATCTTTTTGAAAATGTCCATATCATAGAGAAGCTTTACAATATTTTTATTCATCATAAATAATTATATATTATGAATATAATACTTTATACTGCAATTCACCCGTGATAAATATTTCAGCACATTTCTTAAACTCACTTTTGAGTGTACTGTAAAATAAACATTCTAAAACAAATTCTGCAGAAATAAAAATCCGTATTATAAAAATTCGCTGGGTTTTAGAGTACGTCATGATTGCTGAGTAGTTTTTTTTTAGAAACCTCAAATATTTCTTCACAGTCCAGAATGTGTCCATTATTTCTTTCCTATCCCCCTTTTCAACTTTAGATCTCAGCTGCTTGTATTTCATCTAGAAACTTAGCTTTTTGTAACATCATATATGCATACAAAGTAGATTTATTTGTAGCAGATCCTAAAATCTAATTTTTAATTTTATAATTTCTCTTGTGTTTTGAAAATGGTATAGTGCTTATAATAAATCCTTTTTAAGTGTGTTGTTTCAAAGCTATTGCAGGTCATATGATCCTTAACCATTTTATGGGAGGCTGGGAGATAATGTATTGAGATTGTACTGTGCAATGTTCCATTTGTTTCATTCCTAAAGAAATATCATGTTTCTTTTTCTTTTGTCCAGCTCACTCCTCCTGTTCCTCTGGAGAAGTTTAAATAACTTCAGTACAGTTGTATAACTAACAAGTGCATATTTAAGGCTGTATATATAGGATCCTGATAGAACTTGAATATAGTTTGCATTCTATTTTCTTGCAGTTGCTTTTTGGTTTTCATTAAGAATATTTATATATTTATACTAATTCATATTATTTTCAATAAACGTAAAATTTCTTATTCCAAAGGCAAGCAGTGAAACATCCCCAAATCATGATGTTTCTACTCTTGTCCATAACAGTAGTTAATAGGATTTTCGAATTCAATTTGTAATTTATTTTTGCCACATATTAATTCATCTGTTGGGCTACCACTGCGCTAAGAGTTTAAAAATTTTCAAATCACACTTGTAGTAGATGAAGTATTCAAGGTTGTGGCACTCGAACTGCTCTTTAGAATCATAATAATACTACTACTAAAATAAATAAAGGGAAAATCTGAATATTGTACATAGCTTTAATTATAATTTTCTGGGGTGTAACATGTGAGTTGACTGCTTCCTTTATTTTTCAGTACATAATTTAGATGGAAGATTTAAACAAACTTCTTTAGTTCACCTTCATACATTTCATTTGAAAATGAGATGATAAGTAGTGTTTCATGAGAAAACTATAATAATCTACATACAAGGTGAAAGAGATCAGAACAATTCTTTATCGTGTCACCATTTGTTATACTCTGAATGTATGAATGAATCCTTACAATCATGGAATAACAAGCATGCCTTTTGCATAGATTTAAATTAAGGGGCCTATGCGAATTAAAATAAGGGTTAAATTTTCTTCACGAAATAAGGTACATTATAAAATTCAGGCTACTTTTTCACCTTCTTCTAAACATTTTGGTGTTTTTGATTAGTTTTTTCCTTCTCTAGAATTTGAGCTAAGCCCTCCTCCCCCCTCTTTTTAATGATGGGCACTAGCCATTTCTAGGCTTTGCCACTACTAAGGCCAGAAGTGGTCATTTTATTTATGGAGGTATCTAATAAGCGGTCACCGTTACCTCTTATGAGGGGACAGACAATTTAATCCATACTTTCTCCACAGTTCAAACCAGTAAAGCTAAGCTCAGGTTTCAAGGGAGAGAGAAAACAAAAATATAATAATGTGAATTTTTTTTTATGGCTAAGCAAATAGGTGTACAGTCTAAAAGCATCTGTAAACCTCTCATGAAAATTCTGATGGCAGTATTGCTAATTAATTCACAAATGAGAAACTACCTGTGCATTTATCAAAAGGATAGTAATATTTTGCTCATTAAATCATACTCCAAGTAATGTCAATCTGACATTGTAAAAACTTTTTAATAGTAATATTGCTATAAAAACAGAATTAGCGATCAGTTGTGTTTCAGGAGGTTTTAGAGAGAAAGAAATATTTCTTGCAATAAATCAGAATAATAATTAAGATAATTTAATTAAAATTGTGATTGTGACCCAAAATTATTATGATAAAATCATAAAACATTTTCAGTAATTTTATTATTTTCTTCAAAAAAATTTTTAATGTGCTGTACACAGATGAAATTTTGAAACAAAAGCTAAATTTGGGTATGGGTATTGCTTACATAGCTGCCAATGATCCAAATTTTGAACCTTTACTGAGAAAAAAAATTTTTAGCAATAAATGAAATTGTTAAATTGTCCAAATTTCATTCTTCCAAACCTGTTGATTATACAGCATAATTTTTCTTATACATTTCATTTTATCTGGATAGTGTTAATCTACTGTAGATATTTGTAGAATATTTTATGACAATTCAATTTTTCTTCAGTTAATATTTGTATTTAATTTTGTTTTGCATCAATATGTGAAACATTATGAAATTTATGCACACAGTGGTACATTCATTAATTTTATTTTTATCGTGTTTAAAAATACTTTAATAAATTAAAAACTTTCTTTTCCAGCTCAGGACATGTTTTAGTATTGAAGTGTGAAGAAAATTACAAAATGAAATGGTACTTTTCTGTTTCGCCGGCGTAAATCTCGCCAAGCAGACTTTATTGGCGATAACGTACAGTATATGCATAAAAAATGTTAACAAATGTTAGTTCTAAGAAATTTTTATTTCGAAGGTATGAACATTTTAATATCACATAAATTTTGTAAAAATGACAATAAATTTCTAAAAAGACATTAAGAATTTACTATGCTTTCATGGTACAACACCCTGATTCGCAGTTTCTTATCATGTGAGCTCGTCTCATGTAAACTACGCTACAAAAATCTAATTCTTTCAATAATTATCTACATTAATTTCAAGTTAAATCTTAATTTGGAATACAAGTTTAAATGCAAGAATTATTTCAATTTGTACAAATAGCTTACTCTGAAATTATGCAAAATTGCAGTGCTTTACTTCGCTAGTGCATTCTCATTAGAATTGATGAATTTAACCCTTCACTTTATTTTCTGTATTTTCGCCTTCGGGTGAGCGGTGAGCGGTAATTGGTGATGGCTCCTAATGAACTTAATAATTAATTGCGAATGGCCTTAGGGATATAAAATTGTAAATCCGGGTAAAAAAAAACAAATTGTAATATACCAGTATTGAAAGAAACAATCTATCTGATAAGAAATGGCTGCGACTTGTTTTGAAAATGAGGCGTAAAAGATTACCAGCAAGGATATTTCGTATTTTGTTTGGTATCGGTTGTACCATTTTTGGCAACTTTATCGCTTGCGTCGGAAAAATGGAAAAGTACCAATGAAATTAACCAAAAAATATATAATTCATAATATTTAATCAAATATTAATATATTTTACATCAGAAGAACATTATAAATAGTTGAATAACTTGAACTGTGCATTATAATGCAAATTTAAATCAGTTTAGATATCTTGAAATGGCCACTGCACAATGCAAAGAATGTCCAGCTTTTAATACCTTGAGTATGGTAGTTATGTATGTATCTAGAATAAGATAGAATCTAGAATAAGCAAAAATTTTCGTTTTTTAAATTAAATATTTTCATAACTCTAATCAGGAAAAATCTTTCTCAGTTGTTTTTTTAGTTTTATATACATTTAAATTGTGGAATGTATATTGGAACATTTATAAGCATTTTCTTTCACTATGTGTGCCATTAAACATACAATTTATGCTACACTTGTATAATTTGTTTTTGTATATACATATTATCCCCTTGGCTATCATTAAACCATGAAAATTGGCCGAGATCCCATCAAAAGTCGCACCAATTGTTTTGCAGAATTCTCAATGAACTTGATGCTGCTTCATTTAACAAACAGTTAGTATTTGACCCTTTTTATTTTTGCCTTTCATAAAAAAGGCTTTCGTCAATTTCTACTGTTTTTTTTTTTAGGCAGTCCAGTTTTACATGAAGTTCTGTTTAGAGTACAAACTTCTGTTTAGAGTACTTACTATGAGTACAAACTTCCTGGAGGTAATTGTTCCAGTCTGTTAGTGTTTTGTCTGTCATTTTCAGCTGGTCATATCATATACATTAATTCTCCTTGTTTTTATAAGGAAGGAATATTATTTTTTTATAATATTTATTGGTAAGATCCCATAACTTAATTCACTGTTTACCGTTCTATCGAAGGCAGGTCCCACTTTTTAATCCGTTTTTCAAAATGCAAGAAAAGATATTGTGATAACAATTTTTATCTTTGTTCATAAAACTAAAATGTTACTTATCGAGAAGCAGTCGGTGCATCAAATGAAAGCACAGGTGTTGTATGTTGCATTACTTTTATCAATGACTGACACTAAATCACACTGCTTAGCAAATTTCACAGTTGACAGGATAACATGTAAGTACTTTTGCTTTTTTAAAAAAGTAATGTTTCTTAAAATTTATACTCTTCATTTTCTTGTCAGTTAACTTGTTTAGTGTTCATATGAATTTAAAATACTCTTTCTCTGAGTAATATCCAGTTTCTGATTGTCAGTATTTACATTTCACTATCTTGTTTTAATAAATTATGGTTATAATAAGAATTTTTCTTATTTCTGCCTATAAGTTTTTCTGAACTATTAAGCTATTATAAAAATCAATCAGTCTAGTAAAAAATGTGATTAATTTATATCGCTATCTTTCATATCATATTTTTAGTAAAGTTTGTAAAATTATATTAATAACTGAAGTATATTGCATGTAAATGTTTATTGCAAAATGTACTTCCTTTATGACAGTTATTTTCTGCAAATTAAAAATAGCCTACAGTTTTATTTTCTAACATTATTTCAAAGATAAGCTCCTGCAAATGCAACTTTGTTTTGATCGAAATAGTGTTTTCCATAGGCTAAAAAATGTTTTCCTTCCAAATTTATTATCTGATAAATTTAACATGCCTCTTTTGGCATGTTAATGTAAAAGCATATATTGGTTAATTTAATTTTTATTCAGGTGTCATTCCCTCCCCCCTTTTTTTATTCTGTTCTGGCTGTATAAAAGAAATCCTTAATAATATCAAAATTCTATGTCTTCTATAATTTTTTTTGTAAGGTTTAATACTACATCACCAAGGTTCATTAAAAATTTCTTTTATAGTTCATCAGTTTGATGGCCAGTGTTTTTTTTTTTTTTTTTTTCTCATTTTGCAAGTTTGCAAGCCTATGCTAATACATTTATATTTTGCAGCTTCTTATGCAACACCATTGCAACATCACCTTCCATATGGCACAGTGAGTGTAAGTTTTGATTCTCTGTTATTTTTTATTGTAAATATTATCCTTCAAGTAATTTTTCTTATTTGCTTTTGTATTTGTTAAACTATTAATGAATGTAAAAAGAAATAAATGTTTTTAAAATGTGTAATCGGGATATGGAAACATATTTAATTAAAGGGTTATAAAGACGGTTTCCCCCCCATACAGTATGATTCCTAAATAAATGCTTCTCCCCTTTTAAATAATCCCCCCTGAAAAAAAGAAGTGTGCTTTAAATATTATTGCATTTGGAAATAGACAATCATTAGAAAATTGATTTGATGTTATGGCAGAAAGCTAAAGGCTAAAAAATTCTGATATTAATTGATACCTGCCGATATGTCAGCAGTAATATTTTGAGGATGAAATATACTTTTGACTTTAGTAGTTACATTAAACAATTCTCCCCCGCTTTTTGGGGGGGCAGTTGCATTCAAACTTGCAAGAGAATGTTGAACTAATTCCTAGCTCTTATCCTAAAACTTGTCGGCATTGCTTTTGTCTCATTTCTCAGTCTAACCAGTAAATGTGTTATGCAAAATACAAGAAAAGTTAACGCAAACAATCTACTGTTTTCTTGAGGAAAACTTTTTGTGGGTAACATTTAACAAAAAAAAAAAAAAAAAAAGATGTAGTGTAGATATGTGCTTGGTTTAATTTGGCTGGAGTCAATGTTGAAATTAAAGAAGCTATTCCCACACTTCACCCCCCTCCCCATAATTGTAGCCCACTAGTGGCTGAGCGGTAAAGACGCTGAACGCTGGTAGTTCGGTCCGAGGTTCGAATCCTGCAAACGGGCTGTCTGCATGGCCGTTTTCGTTGTTTTCCCTATGTGTAACGTGCATACGAGCCAGTTTCCCTTAGAAAGTCCTCCACGAAGGCATTCCTCCCTTTAGGCAGATAGCCCTCGTGTGCTTTGCCATAATTAAGTAATCCAATCCAATCCAATTCCGTAATTGTAAGGGAAGGTTGAATAATTTTGAGAGTAAATATAAATTTATTTTATATTAAAAAAATAACATTTTACAAGACGATAATAATCCATTGAATTTTAAGTAATATTCGCAAACAATATGTATTGCAACCTCATACACTGTGATCAGATCAGTGCCTTGCAAATTTACTAGTCCAATAAAAAACTTACTAATTCTTTATACTTTCCTTAGGCCAACAGCGTGCTTTCTCTTTTAAGAAATTTTCGACAAACTTCAATACCCTGTATTCTTATCACTTAGCAACATAAAACTGATCTTTATCATAGTACACAACTTAGTAATGTGTTAATTCACAGTAGTGTGTGGCAGTAGATCTTTAAATTCATAAATTTTAATTAAACACATCCCCACTTCAACGGTATGCTTTGCACCATTTTTCGTCACTCTGCAGATTACATTATTCTTTCCATGTAGTTTCTCAGCACTGCTAAATCTTTAGCCCAATCATTGCTCAGGATTTAAATAAAGATTTTTCCGGCTTATAAACATGACTACAGTTAGTATGCATCACTTTTTTATCACCTGCTGTTGCTTGAAGAAACCATGTCTCACACTCCCATGCTTTCTTTCTCTATTGTTTAAATAATGGGGATGTGTATTATAAGAACTTTGTGAAGCAGATTGCCCCCATTATTCTGTCTATTCAGTATGATGTTTACCCTGCAAAATTATCTAGTAATAAAAATATATTGTGCTTATCCAAGGAATTAATGGTTCTTCTAAGAGTTTTTCACTTCATCATGTGCATCATATCTCTTACTACTTCACTAAAGTGTGAGTAAAAAAAACTACATCACATACATGTACAGTGGTACCTTCTGTAAGGGACACCTCTAGTTAAGAGACAATTTTGTTAGTCCCAGTCCCTTTGAGTAGGAACCTTAATGTATTTACTTATTAAGGTTTCAAAAATAAGATAGAGGTAGACAAATAAATAAAAATAGAAATGCTCTTTGTTAGACTTCTGTAATTGGAAGTACAGTAGCACCTTCTGTAAGGGACACCTTTAAGAGATAGTTCTGTTGGTCCCAGTCCCTTTGAATGGGGACTTTAATGTATTTACTTCTTTATTAAGGGATGCTGAAAAAAGATTTCAAAACTAAGTTAGAGGTAGCAAAATAAATAAAAATAGAAATGCTCTTTATTAGTAATCTTTTGAGGTTTCAAAGCTAAGTTTGTGCTCAGTGAAAGATTTTTGTGAGAAGGGAACAATAAAGTGGAAAATTAATCCCTCATTTTTTAAAACAGCTTTCCAATAGGGAGCAGTAAATTGGGAAAAAAGCAATTTGTGGTGCAATCAAAAGGATATTTCACCTTCATTGAATTCAAAGTCCAGTTATTCTTGCAGTGGGGAAGGGGGAGAAAACAGTGTTAGCAAACTGTAAGGCAATCTAAGACAGGGACCAGTGGGAGAAAAAATGGTTGTCAGATAAACTGGACACCTGCCAAAGACAGGTATCTCACAATGTGAATAGAGTGAAAATGTCTGTCATTCTTGGTAGGACTGGGGAGGAGGGCCAAAGGAATTGTAGTTTTGTGCTTGGGTGTTAGTTTTACATGCATTATCTAGCATGAACTTCAAAGAAGAAATTTTAAAATTCCAGCAATGAATGATACATTGCAAAGTAAAGTATAAGGTATACTTTCTTGATTTTTTACAGCTTGATGATGCATTTTTTAAACAGAACAAGAGTTTGACCAGATATTAATCTAACTGACAAAAAAAATATTCAAGTGGTTTAAAAGAAAATTAACATTTCATTAAAAACTTTGACATAATTTGTTTGAAGAATTTGGGGTACTATTCTGTTATCAGGACCAAATTTAGAAATGTATGACTGTATGCACATGTGTATGTATATATAGCACACATACATATATTTCTGAATGTGGTCCTGATAACAGAATATTACCGAGTTTTTATATCTGGATTAGTCTTCTGTGTAGTGTACCTGCGATTCAATCTTCTGTTCCTGGCAGAGGTGAGGGAATTGTATTGTTATTATTCTCATGCCTAAGCATATAGTCTCCAGGGAGAGATTACTCCTAGATTTATCTGGGGTGAGGTAAAGATACACTTGTGATTGATAGACTGTCTTTTTGCTGGTTCATTTCGATTCTGATTATCTTATGGGACTTCATATCTTCTTTCTGTCCCACCAATTTCTTGAGGAGAATTTGAACCCAGCAGAATTTAAGTGGGATTGTGCTGCAAAGACAATATACAGTTACAAATATCCATGTAATTCAAATCCAATGAAAAATGTTCTACTATGTAAAAATGTACTTGGATGTGCTTTAAGCCATTATAATAAGAACTAGATTTGCATATTTATTAACAAAGTAATTGTGGTAGCAATAAACTTAGCTATGAAGACTAATCATTTTTCATTGTTATTCAAAGGTTGCTCCTAATATCACAGCATTTGGTGTTCCACCAACATATATGCCACAGTTAACTCAAGTGTATTCACCTCGACCTGGTACTGTGTATGTCCCAGCTGCTGCCACATTCGATGCTGGTGCTCGTTTTGACGGACATTCTATGCCTGTTGTACCTGTGAGTATATTGTAGTTCTTGTTTAAAATTTAGAACTGCTCAAACAATATTGTAAAATTTCAACAAGTTAAAAAAAATTTTGTAAGAGAATACATGATTTTTTAAAAATTGATACATGTGCATATTTAAGTTATTAACTTTATATATATACACACATACACATTAAAAAGGGGTGCTCTCTAAATTTTGTAGTTAAAAATAGATAATTTGATACATTATCAGAGAAATGCAATGTGATAAAAACACTTCAGATGGGAGAAACTTTGGTTATAAATGGATAAGTATATTCTGAAGAATAAATTATTTTAATTTTAAATAGTGGCATATGCTTAGTATCTCAATTATTGGGGATTTAATAAATAGCTTAGATATTATTTTGGGCAATCACGTTAAATCACGTTGAGCCCGGCGCCAAATTTGCTGTCCTTTCCGTTCAGCTTGTTATCTTAGGAACAAAATCGGCTTAATCCAGATTCATAACAAATACCAAAAAAGTTGTTACATATTGTAATATGTGTAAAGCTAAGCGGTATTTTTGTTTAGAATGTTTCAATAAATTTCATTAAAACTACATTTAATCACATTTCATTGAAACCATATTTATTTTGTAACTTTAATACTGTCGGTCCCGAGGACCGGCGCCACACGGAAAGTTCACTTCCGCTCCCCAGGGACCGGCGTCGGGCTCAACATGTTAATGAATAGACTGTCATTATGTATTGTAGAGCAAGTGTTATTAATCAGAGTTCCCCCATTCATTCTTATTACTAGGATACTAAATAGCTTTCACATCCTGCAGATTTTTGATAGGAGGTAAATTTGGACATTGTACTAATTAAGTTATTACTTAAGCAATTTGTGTGGGATTTCACACATAGCCAATGTTAGACTTGGACTGTTTTGTTCTGCTGGGAAATGCCATTTGGAAAACCTAATGCAATGAATACTAGTTCTTCATTTAATATATTGGATGTATCATCATTGTATTCATTATGCTACTAATCATTTTTTGATCCCATATTGATGAATTTTGCTGGCAGAAGGATCAGCCTAACTTCTGTGCTAGTTCCAGACTCATTCAGCTGTATCATTGTTAAGACAGCACCAAGATGATGACTAAATACCATATAGTATTATTGTAGATTATATAGGTAGCTGTGGTGTAACAACATTGCAAGCTGTCACAATGATGGTTTGATGTTATTTGCTGCCCTCAGAAAAAGTAGCTTGGTCAAAAATTTTTATTATAATATAATCTATGCCACAGGTCAATGCAATTTTGAAGAGGTTCAGTTATGAACAATGGGTCGATAGCTTAAGGCGCACTATCAAACAGTATAATCAAGATTGCACTGATTGAAAAGTTAGTAAAATTTATAGTAAATTGTTTAGAGCTATAAAGCTGTATCATATGTTAAGGAAGCAAACAATCATATAAAATAAAGGGGAAATATGCAAAAATTACTTATTTTAAAAATCAATAATATTTTTTTAATGCAATAGGTGTAATATAAAAAAGGATAAAGTAGGATACAAGAAAACAGTCAAAAAGGGGGGATATGAAAAATGTAAAATATTCTCAGATGTATTGTTATATACAATTGTCAATATATTTACTACAGAAAATAAGAAACAGGTTGAATATTTTTGAACAAAATGATTTTAAAATTAAGCAGTTTTATTCCAAATATTAAAAAAAATTGCATCAGTACATCAAGCGTAGCTATTATGTTAATTAAAATTAAACTTTTGTGCAATTAGAATGTAATTTGTTTTTGGAAATTCATTTATGTAACCTTTAAAAATAAACTTTTATTTATAATCTTAATTTACTTGTTATCTTTAATTTATTTATGTGCAGTTATTTATATTGTGGTGATGTTGTATGCTGAATTCTCAGTATTAATGTATTGAATTTTAATTAAACAGTGGAATTTTAAGTTTGCCTAGTATGCTTTAGAGAAAAATGTAACAGATTGATGACAAATACCATTCTTTTAAAAGTGGTTGATGTAAGAAAAAAGGGTGGGAATTTCTGGTCTGTGAAATTGCTTACATTAATATTATAGCATCCCAGTGTATCAATTAATTCTGCAGAATGCTCCCAGTTGTGTGTTGGACTGCTACTGATTAATGCGAATGTGTCACTTTTGCATGTTGTGGCATTCAATTGGATGCTCAGGTCTCTATTTGATGAATAATGTTATCTTCTTCCATTGATTCCATATTTAATTCAGTTGCATTGCATTGAATTTTATGCATGTGCTGCCCATCTGTGAATAAAAACTCATTAGTTCAACAAAAATGTTAAGGGTGGTGGCTATGAATCATTATCCCTACAAAAAATAATTGTAGTTGAAAAGCAGATTTCCATGCTATTAAAAATGATCTCATATATTAGCTTAGTGGAATAATTTTGCCCCTCTTTTCATATTTTCAAATGATGTGATAGATTCGAGCATGTGAATGTTTGAACGAATTATGTTGCAGAAAATGATTTATAGATGGATATTAAACTAACTTAAAAAGCAGGCTCACTCACTGCTGTTATGGCATATTGCCTTCCCCAAATTAATATTTTGGGTTGATATTTTTTACTAGAGCATAAATATTCAGCTGAAAATTAAAAGGAAATGCAAATGTGAAAAAATAATTCGTTTTTATTACCTTGGAGTTATTCAGCTGAAAATTAAAAAGTTGCAATTATGAAAAATTAATTGGAACTTATTTGTTTATCCTTAAGTCCCCCTCCCAAAAAACAAAACAATAGTAACAAAAGACATTCTGTTATTTGGGAATTAGTGGTCAACCCCTGATACGCTGTAGCTTTTGTTTTTTCTTTTCTAGATTTAGCTTCCTGATGTGGCTATTTCTGGTTTTTATTTTCTAACTCTTGGAAAGACTCTGGCTTTGTTTGTTTTTAATTTTGTGAGCTATACTTGCTTATTACTATTTGTTAATGCTTAGCTGCTAAATGAAGAAAAAATAAACAAAACTATTGTATTGAAAGATATTAAAGTACATACTGAGCAATAGCTAAGATTTTTCCAGTTCACTAAAATTCTTATAAAAATGAGCCTTACTGTAAATACCCCAACACAGAGACCCATGTAGAATAAATAGGAAAAAAATAATCCCTACAGAAGTGGTAAAGACAGCATGAAAACTTTTTGGGAGAGAGAAAATATGGCAAAAGTCAATAAAAAGTGCAGATGATGTGGTAGTAAATGATCAGAATGGAAGCATCACTTTTATACATATGTAAGTATAAGAAACAAGTAAGGGTTACCAAATTGTAACAGGAAATGTTTTATCACCAAGAAAATGCAAGCCAGGATAACCAGTGAATGGCAATTAATTTTGCATTTTTCAAATTTAGCACAGGGCATCATATTTTTACCTTTTCTTGGAATTGTGAAATTATTAAAGGTTTCAAGAAAATATTTGTAGCATGTAAACTTTATAAATCATTTACTAATAAGTACTATTAATCCGATTAAATTTTTAATATAGATGAAAATTATCTATTAATTAATAGTACTGTTTTTATATAATAACTAAAAAGGATGCTGTTATTATGTACGTGAATATGGAATTCTTTGTTCAGCAATGTTTTTAAAGAGCATTTTTATTTATTTATTTTTAGCCTCCACCACCAAATGTTGCACCAAATGCTGCTCAGTTGGCTATGATGCAAGGCAATCCTGTGGTTCTCAGTCAGCAGAAAAGCAGCTTCTTGAGTGGTGGTAGTGGAGCTGGTTTTACATTCTGGTAGTTGAGGACCAAAATGTTAAGATAATTGGTGAGTTCTAGGAGGAGAATGCTCACAACTTTTAGCCAAGCTATGCAAAGATTCTGGCACAGTTGATGGGCCCAGGCAACTTATATGCAATGCATTTTTCTAAAAATGAAGGAAAAAAAACCCCATCTTACAGGAATTCTAGACTCTTATTTGTCTTTCCCCATTTTTCATTGTAAATCATGAATGCCTGATTGCATATATATTATATATTCTATAGCAGCTTAAATTATATACATATATATTTAAATGTGTATATATATTTGAGCAGTTTTGTTTATTTTGTAAACTAAGGAACATAGATAAAAATAAATGTAAAAAGTAGAAACCCTTGTAATGATCATTATTTTTTCATTATGTGTATCAGAACCTGCATGACAGTAATAAAGGTGCTATAGCAGTTCGAAAATGATTGATAGTTTTACATGAAATAGCTTCTATATTTTAAGCATGCATATATATTTATTTCAGATTTATGTAATAAATAATATATAGTTTATATAAAAAAATATTTCTGTTGAAAATGTATTTTAAAAAGTATGATTTTAAAATACACAGTTTTGGAGAAACTCTCATTCCTAATCAAAAACAGTTTAGGGGAAAATTAAATATAATTGTTGATTATTCAGATTCTGATAAACTGAATTTCTTAAAAACGAAAGATATTTTGTATATTTCGAGCTGAAATTGAAATACTATCTATTAATATCTTTGTAAGTGTTATAATATGGCATTGCAATGAAAAATGTACAAAAATGAAGTAGCTAAATTTATTTTCTTTACATTTTTATTATGATGTTACTTAATAATGGTTAATATTTATTTCATAATTTTTTAATGAACGTTGCATATAGATTGTTGTATACCATAATTCTATCTCTGTCATCTGTGAGGAGATCTTTATAAATAGCTGGGGAACTGAAATGCACTAATATGTAAAACTAAAAAATTCTAAAATGCAGTAATGTATTCATCTTTCAAATCTGAATTAGTTATTAATTAATAAAGTTGACTTTTCTCAAATTGTGTAATTGAATTACCTAAGATTTTAAATTTTAACTATAAAAATAACTGAAAAATACTTTACTATTTTTGATAAATCCTAGAAAAAATTATATGTGCATTTAAACAGAATTAATTATTTACACAACTTGCAGTATTTTTTCCCTTTGCTACAACTTCAGACAGGTGCATTATTGTGTCCGAAATGAATGGCTGTACTTTATAAAATATATATTGGATTTATTTATGCGACATAATTATTTATAATCTCACGTTATGCAAAACTAATTTTCATGTTTTTACCGAAGTTAACAGTGAAATATTTTAATTCAATCTTTTCTCCGCCTTCTAGCAGTTTATCATTTTCAGAAGAATAGCATGTTCTTAAAATTAGATAATATGCTTAAGTATTATAAATTATATAGTTAAAAATCTTTTTCTGCCTTTCATCAAATGATAGAAATGTTAAAAAAACTAAAATCTTGATAAACAAGTAACAAAGAGATAAGAATCTTATTAAATTTAGATGACATCATTCTTGAGAAAATATGAGTCTTAATTATGTAAAAATTTGGCAGTAGAAAAATGTTTGCAACAGATACATCTGCCTCAAACTAAAATTCTTTCTGGGGGGGAGAACAAGATAACTGCTATTATAACTAAATCTCTTAGATTAATTAATTCAGGAGATTAAGATTAATCTGCTGAATTTAATAATGATGAGATAGTCATTAAAAGAAGCAGTGCACATAGTACAGTAAAAGCCCGATTATCCAACATTCAACTAACCAGAAAATTTTTTAAAAAGTACTTATCCTCTCAAAATTAAATAAAGGAGTCTTTTATACCATTATATAGCATGTTATATTAGATTGCTAAATAGTGTGATTTAGTGCCACAAATGGATAAATGTGTAAATACAAAATCGTAAGAATTTCACCTTGATTTTATATATAAACCCAATTAATTCTCGATAAGCTAGTGCAATTTTTGTAAAGAAAGGTCCAAGTTCTGTTTTCCCAAATGTTTGAGACCTGCCTTTTATGAGCTAGTATGCATTAGGGTAGTTTCGAAGTTGCAAAATACTGAGATCAAGAAAGGCACAATCTGATACTTTATTTGAAAATGAATAAACAATTGCAGTGCTAACTATATTATATCTATAATTTGTATGTGTTTATGTAAAGAAGCAACTATTAAATTTCTATCACAACGATTAGCACAACTTCATGATCGGATGTTTCACGTTTAAGGTCTATGAAATATGATGGCTTTTATGTCTGTAATGCATTCCCCTCCTTCCTCCGAGATCTTACATAATTTAAATGTAGGCTTTTAATATTCGATTTGGTAACAAATAAGATTACTGATTTTGGACAGAAATTTCTTCCATTCATATTTGGTCTTTCTACATTGAATTTATACACTCAATTATCTGGAATTCGGCATTTCCTGAGCTTTCCAGATAGCCAGGCTTTTTACTGTATTTGGCTGTAAGCAATATTTGATCTCAATAATAATCTTCATCTCTGAATTCTTGTATGAAAAATGTTTTAATCAAAAGATAATTTGTTAGTAACATTGTAACAGCTGTTTGATATTCTTATATTATAAATTTTCAATGTTGGGAGATTTTTCTGGGCTACAAAAGTATTCCAAAAATGAGCTTCATGAAGGATATGTCAAGATCTTTCAACCTGTACGTTTTAGTTTTCATCATGTAGTAAATAGAATGGGGAGTTTATGCTGTGATGGTGGAACAGATGTCAGACTAGTTTCCTAGAACTAGTTGCTTTCTATGAGAATTTAATTATGAAGCTCCTCAAGTCTCAGTACCTAAACTTTTAGGTTTCATTATCACAGATAACATTTTTATATAAGGCTGAAAGAAACAAAACTGATCCAAATGCAATAATTTATTTAAAGACATTAAATAATAAATGCTTTGCATATAAATTATATTGCATATAAATTATATGCAAGTTTTATACATACAATACTGATACGAATTTCATTGTAGATTGAAACATAAATCGTAAAAAAAGTTGAAAGGGGGGGGAAAAATGAGATTTCAGCTGATACAAATTTATATCCTTGTTACTTTGAAACAGTTGAGTTGATCAGAAAGTGAGTTGTTAATAAGAAAAAAATGTGAATCTTCATACATGGTATATTTATATATGCAAGTTTAAAATCAAATAAATTTTTCCCCATCAGAAATGTTTATTCATGCTTACCTTATGTGTTAAAACAAATATTGTAAAAGCTAAAAATTTTCAAACTGCTTTAAATATAGACTAACAGCAAAATATATATATATTTTAACATCACTATTAAACGTTTTAACATTTTGAACTGAATAAAAGATGTAACTTTTACTTTAGATTCAGTAAAATGAAAGTATATATGTAAAAAATATTAGAAAATGAAGGTCACATCACTAAGTACTGTTCAATAAACAATAAGTGACAGATATAAGCATTTTACCACAACACTTGAAAGCAAAATACATGTAAATGAAGCTGAAAATGTATCAGTATAGGAAACCAGCATAAATAATATGTACTGCTATATATAAACAAATGAATTTTCAATATATAGTCTTCAGATCTGCATATTCAAGCTGCCTTGAATAAATATTTCTTACTAAAATATACTAACAACCTGTGGAAAAGAGAAAATTTAAGTTCTATGTATACCTGAAATGAAAATGCACAGAAACATTTCAATATGAATCAAATCCGCTTCAAGAAATGAAAATTTTTGACACTTCAGATTAATACGTATGACATCATGACTTAAATTTAATGTAATATAATATAACTTTTTTTTTTTTTTTTTGACACGGCAATAACATTCACATTCACTTTAATTATCCTAACCTGAAACAAAAAAGTTGCCAACAGCAGCTATTTATTTAAAATGCTGTTTTTTTTTAATATTATAATATGGCTATAAATAATAATACATTTCATATTTGGCAATGCTAATCTTATATCATATTTTGTAAAACTTACAAATTTTTAATTAACAAACTGTACAATTTGAAAGCGAGAAGTGGCAAAACTTTTCAAAATGAGCATTTTCAGAGTTTTTAATGAATATCTCAACCGATTAAAGGCAGAAGGCGAAAACAGCCGAAATGGCTTCCCATGAATTTTTGGAATCCGGGGTTACCTCTCTGGAAACAACTCTCTACCATTAAGTGGAAGACGAATGCAGATTTTAATAATATGTATTATGAATTAAGTAATTTCACACTTTTTTCCCTTTTATTTCTGTCTTTCCCACCTTTTTTTTTTTCTTTTACATCACAAGCAGGTATTATCAGATATGAATCTTTATTAATAATGCAATAAGAATTGAATGTAGGACCGTTAAGAACTGAATTATAGCATACCGGTTTTTAAGAATTATCTTCACGGATATACATGGAAAATTTTTTAATGGTATAATTGAAAAATTTCACTTCACTTAAAATTATACATAAAATTTATAGCTTAAAAAGTACGGTCTTTCGGCACACAATGTGTGACATATCAATAAATGAATATATGAAAAGTACATAATGAATGCATTGTCGGAATCATCATTATGAAACAAACATTTAAAAAAAAAATTGGTGAAGCATTATTTTGAAACTTTTTACTGTTTAGACTTTTCGCAAACTTCTAAAGCAGTTACAGAAATAAAATTATAATAAATAAATAAACAAAAAGTAAAAATATATATTCTTTTTCTTCATCTACAGGAATAATGAAACATTTTCTAAATTGAGCTATAATATCAGGAATTCTGAATCATGTTATTCAGAAAATTACCTTGTACGTAATGCAGTAATGTTCATGCAACACAAAACAATATTATGGAGATTATAAGATTGAATATAGGAAAGATCTTATGCAGTGAAAAAATAATCAAAATATTCATATATTCTAGCTATATTTACTGAATATAGAAAGTCAGTACAAATTTGGACAATAATTATGAGTAATTGTAGTTTGTATAATAAATGCATAACCCAGTATGAAAAGGATTATGTAAACATACAGAGGTAACTTATCAACAAGCACTAACATAAAAGTAAAATCAGGGTAAAATGCTGCTATTGAAAATTAAATATCCCAAATCTAGTTATAAAGTTTACCTCTGATAAACTTTATATTATAAATAATAAATGTAAAATATTTATTTCAATAGTTATAAAATATTCATTGCTTCTGAATTATAAATAGGAATTCAGCACCAGCTTTTGCCTAATATTTACTTTTTTTAACTTTACAAGATCAGCAATATTTTTTTAATGAAGCTCTTTTTAATATTCCATATTGACAGACCATATAATAACATTCTGAAGCATAAATATTTTTCAAAAGCATTTTTTTTGAGGCAAAAAAAAAAAAAAAAAAAAAAAAAAAAAAAAACAATAACACAATATTCGTATTTTTGAATGTTTATTTTATCTGTTACTGTGGTTAATTTTTGCTTGCTAGATAATTATTGCAAATAAATTCTAAGAGTTTCCTTTGTTAAATTTATTTAAAAAAACTGAAGGGTATTACTATTTTAGTAGATAACAAATGAAACAATATACACATATTATCTACAAAAATTTACAAAGTTTTATCACAAGGCACAAAATTTATTTGATTTAACTAAGTCAAGAAAAGAATATAGTTCCTGTGGTATTAGGATTACTATCAAATAATAAAGATGTAGTTAATTCTGCAACCTCTTCAAATGTCTCAGAAGAACCTTCCTAAAGGGATAAGAAATACATTACTTACGATAACATGCATTTTTTCATAAATGTAACAATATAGGTAATTTTTTTTTTCTAAAGCTGATGTTTAAATAATTAAAAAAAAATTAACCTATGATATTTTATTTTTCAATTTCATCACATTCATTTCACTCATTCGATTTAGCTAATCTGTGTAAATAGTCAAGACTTTTTCACACAATTTTATCCCCCAAAACAAATAAGTATGCAATTGAAAAAGATGGTTAAGTATTTTATATCGTGAAGTCTTTCCTTTATTAACAGTAAGAAGATAAAACAATTGGAGAAGGGGAGGGGGAAATAATGTTACTTAAGTGCATATCTATTCCAGCCATAGATTTTTAAGCCCTTTTTCTGTCCCTCCAATTTTGGCTTAAATATATACATGCAGGTACATTGCATCCATGTAAGTCCCTACCCAGCCTTTATTTTCAAAACCAATGATTAGAGACATATACTTCTAGTAATAAAAATGTTTCAAATAATGCAAATATACTTGTTTTGTCATTTTTAATTTAAAAAAATTAACTTTGATCTGAATCTTATTCTTATATAATTCCATGATCTCTTTGGTTATGTTTAGGAAAATTTATAATCATTATTAAAAATAAAATGCAAAAAGTTTTAACACCCATATGACAAAAACTGGCCAAGTTATTTTATTTTTAAGTTGAAAGCCACATTCTGAGGCCACACACATAATTGATGCTTGCATTTGTATGTAACTAAAATGAAATATCAGTTCTGAAAAAGGTTTCTCGTGTTAATAGATTAAATTATAAGCATTTCTATACAGATTGTTATGAAAAGTATTTATATACATTTTCAAAAAAGTGATCTTATAAAATTTGTGTTCAAGAAAACACTGACAGGCTTTATTTGTGGGAATTAAAAATTGTAAATATTTTTAGTTTAATGAATTTTTCATTTGATTATTATATAATGATTATACAGTAATAAGACAGCATGAGACTTGTATGAAAATTCTTTTGTCATATCAAATATAAGAAAATTATAAATTAAAGATACTAGTACTTATATAAGAATACCATTCAATGGTAATTAAAGGAGGGAAAATCAACTTCAAATTATTCTAATTCATTTATTAATTTACTCTACATGGGAGGTTAATGGAAAATTTTAAAATTAAATATCTCGATCAATTTTGGTTGTACAAGAATTCAGCTTTTTGTATTTTATTTTTTATAACGAGTATATAATTTTCCTAAATATAAACATCAGACTGAAGCAATGTATAAAATGTTATATTTCATAATTTTTATATTTTTTTAATTTAAAAATGCCAAAATCTGAATATTTGCACCATTTGAAACTTTTTTTTTTTTTTTTCAATTGGAAGTCTACAATCAAGAGTTAAAAACATAAAGGCAGGGTAGAAATTTATGTGAACATGGTATATATATATATAGTGTGTTTATATTCTGGAGTGAACTGATAAAAAAACAATGCTGAAATAACTTTATAACCATAGCATTCTATATACTGTGTGTACCTCTTAGTATGTTTTACAGATCTGGATGATTTTATGAAAACTAGTTGTTGAAAAATTCTTCTTCTCTAAAAAGCTTCACTTTTTTTTATTAACTCAATACCTAATTCTTTATAAATTAGTAAAATCTGCAATTGACAGAAGTTATAAATTACTTATAGAGAGCAGGACAATCAAGGTAACTAATTAATATCTAACTCTACCTAATCTGCATTGTGGTAAAGGTCGAAAGAAAAACAGAAAGGCCCTTTTAACAACAAAATTTATTTAAAAAATATTTTAACCTGACATTGCTTGCACTCCTGGTTGTCGGCCTGTCTGTCGGAAGACAGTCGGGTTGGTATCACACCGCTGTCCGGGGAGTCTCCAGAGTCGCCTTAGGTGGTCATCGGGACTCATCACTGAAGACTATTTTACTCCAATCAGTGACATTCCAATGCTAATGAGCCCGATACCACTGCAAATGGGCTTGACATTGTACAGAGGTCAATGGTAGTCGGCGCAAGGGGCGTCGTGACCTCAGCCCCCATTCTGTGAGCCGTCTATTAATGGTTCTTGCGGTCACTGAAACACTAGTTGCATGTACAATCGATGATAATGATGTATCTGGGGCTGTGAATGCAACTCTGACGATTGCTCGGTCTTCATGTTCTGTCGTTTCTCTAGGCCTAGTGCTTCCTTCTGACGCTATGTGCGGCCATGGTTCACCCATTCCTGTCAACATCGTCTAATAATGGCATCAATCCTGCTCAAATGTCGAGCTATTTGCTGATAAGACAAACTGGCTTCTTTGAACCCAACTACATGACCTCTCTCAAATTCTGACATCTGCGCATATCGTTCATGCACCTGTATGCAAGGCATAGTTACTGTCTACTAGAGTACACGGAATGAAATTCGTGAAGAATTTATGACCTGGAATCATAATTTCTCCTCTTAAATGTCCTGCCAGTTGTGCAGATCAGATGCGCTGTAGCGACAACCGTTCATTCATTGGCAGCCAAAATGTAAAATTTTGCATTTTCCGTTGAAACCTGTATGCATATCAATTTGTGTCCAATTTGCTTTATATCTTCTCAGTGCATCATTTTTTTTTTTTTTTTTTTTTGTCTAAGAGTGTACATGGGATGATTTATGCAAACCAATAAGATACAGCAATCCAATAAATGCTTTTTATTTTAGCCTCATCAGTCTCTTTTGCGTTTCTTTCTTGAGAAAGGTCCTCTTTAATTGAGCTAATAAAAATATTAGTACATTGCATTAGTTTCTTTATCAAATCAGAAGATAAGTAAGTTCCAAGCTTCCAGAAGAGAAACGCATGTGTTTCCAGGGAGTGTTGAAATTATATTTTTAGCAGTAATTCTAACATTTCAATGGAATTCCATTTTGTTATATTATCCTTTCCTGTAAAATAGTCATATTCATTTGAATCAGAAAGATCGCCCTCTAAATCAGATTCTATTTCAGTCAAAGATTCGTGTTTACTGAAAATTTCTTCATTATTGAAAAACTCATTACCTTCCTCAAGACTTTCTTCAGCCGAAGCAACAGTACAGTACAAAGTCCGTAATCCGGACGTCCATTATCCGGAATGATCTATAATCCGGACTTTAAAGCTACAAACTTACGCATGCATGTAAAGCCAGTAAAGCGTTTACACATGCGCGCTTCCGATAGTGAATAAAGTGACAAAGAGGTTATTGAAAACGAACAAATTTCGATTGGCAAGTTAGTTGGTATTCTCGACACAGTAATTACAGGATTTGAACAGTGAAACTTTGTAACTAAACAAGACATTATGTCTATTTATAGAAGAGAGAATTAAAGAGAAAGTATTAGCACAAAAATCGAAGCAACTTAAACAACTTACATTGAAAGAAATGTTTAATAAAGTAAACAAATAAATATTACGCTTTTTTTTTTTTTTTTTTTTTTTTTTTTTTTTTTTTTTTGTAAATTTTGATACCTTTTAGATCATAATTGCTCTTTATTTCATAAATTACGGTTTCATATTTTTAATTGTATAATTTCTGCATGCCATCTTACCAGATTTAAATTGATAATCTATAATCCGGAAAAAACCTAACCTGGAATCACCAAAGTCCCGACGAGTCCGGATTACGGACTTTGTACTGTATAAAGTAAATTTCTTAAACGTCGCATTTCTTCATCATAACGTCGAAAACGTGCTGTAGTAAGAGAATGATTTCAATGCGTCTATCACTACTCAGAATTGTAACAGAAATGCTCACACTGGGTGGAACATACCCTGGACTGGCAATTTCAAGATAACTATTTTTAGAACTCTTTCCCTTAATCTTCCCTTCCAAGGTTATGGCCCTGGGGGCATCTACAAGAAGAATAACCCATTTTTTTTTAAAAAAAAAAGGTTGGAGAGAAACAGCGAAAAAATGGAAGGGGTGGGTATGACATACCCAGCAAGATCAAACCTGGGTTAATAATATCTTAAATTGCTGCACAACAAAATGTCTGATGTGTTCCTTTTATACTAGTAAATGTACGAGTAATAAACAAAATTTTTAATGACAGAAAAATCGTGCTCTTTAAGTGTAAGGTTTCATTTCACAAAACAGAAAGTAGAATGTAAAATCTAGCAACTAAACAGGTTATTAATGAAAGCTGCAATTTAGTTTGCAATCAAAAGCTCAGTAATAAGAGAAAGAGACACATAATTGTATTAAACAGCAACAGAAATAAAGTTATGGATTCAAATGGCTGAGCCTTTTTTCTAAAATAGTCTTTTCAGTAGTCAGGTCTATTACAACTTTGCAGAACATGGAGCCAGCTGCTTTTTTTCATCAAGCCAAGATTCCTTGTGAATTACCCTCTACTTATTCAAAAATTACCAGCACTGTCTCAACTAAAAGGTTCTAAAAGTAAAATTTCTATGGCTATTTCCTCTTACCTGTGATGATGAAGATTGATTTGCCTGTAAATTATAATTAAAACACCAAATTTCATCACAAACAGCTATAATTTAAAAGAGAAATAATTTTTCTTTTAAATTATAGCTGTTAGTATCTGCCATTTCAATTACATGCTCACTATTTTTCATTTTTCAGCTTCTAGATTCATAACAGCGGATGGTAATATAAATTCAAATAAAATCATTTTAAACTCTTTCCTTTAATTTTATGAGTGATATTACAAAGAAGAAGGGGAAAAAATCATGTTATTTATTATTTATCAGGGCCACTAGTAAATGATTTTAAAAAAATTAATTTATATCATGCTACAAATATTAAACAAGTAATTACCAAAATGTTAACTCATATAAATATCTACATTACCTTTTCTATTACAATAAAATATACTAATATGTTCAGTGGCTTTAATGCTTTTGCACCAGCTTTAGCCGACCTTTGCAACTCCAAAAAATTTATATTTGAGTCAAAACTATCAAACAGAATGTGAGCTATGCATGACTGTTCCATTGGCTTATGTTCTCCATATAAAATATATAGTTGATCGACTAAATCATAAAGATTTTTGTTGCTATATATTTTCACAAGATTAGGAAACTTTTTTAAAGATGAATCAGTAAATTTTCCAGGCAACTGGATCTAAAAGAAAAAAATAATAATCATAGAATAATTATATATTTTATGGCTAGAATTATAAAATTAACAAAGATATAATTTTGAGAATACATAACTTCTGACTTACCGTTTTAAATCGTTTGCTCAATGATGCTTTTAGAAATGGTAAAAACTCTACAATGGGAGCACCGCTGATGATACCAACTGCTTGGTTCTCTAGAATAGAAATATGTTCATTCTTTTGTCATTTCAATAATTTAATATAATATATATCTTTCATATCAAAAGTAGTAACACTTTACCATCCTAGCTCAAAAGCTTAGTTAAAACATTAAACAAAAAAAATTTATTTGTAACATACATTTTTTAAATTAAGATGCATAAGTTGCATACCTTGGCATACACAGTTTTAACCAAAATAAAATTTTATGAAAAGTTTAATGTGAGATTTCTTACATTATAATAACTTGAATATTCTTATAATTTCAAAGGAAGACTGAACAGTCAATCTATAATATAACAATAATATTTTAGGTAAGGTTATTTACATAAAATATGAATTATATATTAATCCAAAATTAATTCACACCATTGTTTTACACGTTAACATCAAGTAATGGAAATGCTGTACATTATTTTATAGGCATAATGTTACTTTCTTGTTTAGCTTTCAAAGATATCAAGTAACATAATTAGAACAACTAAAACTACTAAGCAAATTTTATTTCTTTCAGATTTTTAATCAATTTAGCACATTCTTTGCATGCAATTTCCTTTCTTACTACCTAGAAATAGTATCTAAACAATGAAAAGCTGGCACATTGTGGTAATCACAGACCTCCTTTATGTAACTTAGTTCCTATAGATAACTTGCAATAATGCCATCAAAAGACATTTGTTTTACAGTAAAATTTCACATCCAATAAATCAAAATATTTTTTTTTAAGTTAATACTTTGCTGGCCGCTGTCACGCTGGCATGACTTTTGTTCGCCAACGGTTATCGGGTGCTGTCACGCTGGCGTGACTTTTGCTCGGCAACAGTTATCAGCCGCTGTCACGTACGCGTGACTTATTTTCGGCAACAACGATGCTTCACATCGACATTTGTATAGATAGACATACTATAGCAAAACATTTGACGATCAGGAAACATTGCTTTCAACTGTTTTCCTCTCCCAATTCGCCAAACTGTCTATTATTGAAATCATTTTTCGTGGACGCTTGTTTTGTTAGTTTGAGACTGTCTTTCGCTGCCTTCAAATATCAGAAACTTACGTTAGATTTAAAGATATCCTTCAAAATGCTCTTCGATGAGGAAATATATGCTGATCTGTTATCAGAAGACGATAATTGCTCTGATAGTGAAAGTGATTCGGACAGTGGAGCGATATAATTGTGAGAGGATTCAAAAATAAGGGAAGACCAATAATTAGTGAATCTGAAAGTGATGAAGAGAATTCTGTGGCAAATGATTGGTCAAAAGTTGATTTTAAACCTAACTTTCATGCTTGCCTGGAACGGTTTGGGTTACAGGTACCATACACACCAGATATATTATCAACTGTGGAATTGTTCATTGGAGACGATTTATTTAATTTGTTTGCCACACAAACAAACTTATATCATAATCAGCAGAATAATGATAATAACAATGCATCACCAAAGAATAAAACTTGGATTGATACAAATGTTGTAGAAATGAAAAAACTTTTGTGGCTTGTTATCCTAATGGGAATAGTAAGAAAACCAGAACAAGACGATCATTGGTCTACTCACCCTGGATTACATACACCTATTTTTGGGAATACTGTGCCAAGGAACCAATTTCGGCAGTTATGGAAGTATTGGCACTTCAGTAATAATGAGCATTGTCAAGAAAGGTTTGATAAAATAAAACCAGTTTACTCATACCTGGTAGAAAAGTTTCAAAAAATTTATAAAGCCAAGAAAGAATTATTGCTGGATGAAAATATCATTCCATGGAGGAGCAGGCTATCTTTTCGATCCTGCGAAAATCATAAAATATGGAATTTTAATCCGTATGGTGTGTGAGGCGATATCTGATTATATATGCAATTTAGAAATATATTGCGCGCAAGGAAAATCGCTAACTGCGACAATATTGTCTGTCACCATATTTAAATTTATGGCATGATGTATATATGGACAACTATTACAATAGTGTAAAGGTTGCAGAGGAGTTACTAAAGCATAAAACAAACATCTGTGGCACAAATAGAGTAAACAGAGGAGTGCCAAATTGTTTAAAATCTGCTACAGTGAAAAATAAGTCAACAGAATTTCATAGAAAAGGGAAAATTATGGTACAAAAATTGAATTCAGCCAAAAAATTTATAATGATGATTTCTATGATACATTCAGCAGACATAGTCGAATGTGTGAGTAAAAGAACCAAAAAGAAGTGCATTAAACCAATTTGCATACAAGAGTATAATAAATTTATGAAAGGTGTTGATCACGCCGATCAATACCTATCGTGTTATTCCCTACTTCACAAAACAAAAAAATGGACAAAAAAAAAAAAAAAAAAAAAGGTTTTATATCTCATAAACTGTGCATTACTCAATGTGCTCCAGATGTACATAAAAAATTCTGAAAATCCTATTAGATTCAAACAATTGTTACTAAACCTTGCATTAGCATGGATTAATGAGAATGAAGAGGAGCAACAATCAAGATCGGCTGCTCAATGTGATAAAAGATCGCCGAGGTTTGATCCACCCTGCAGACTTACTACGGACATGAGAAAACATAGAATAATACATATTAGTGGTAATGGGATAATTCAAAACCCGCGAAGGGCCTGCAAAGTCTGCACTGCCGCCAAGAAAAGAAGTTCCATTGCATACATATGTTTTTTCTGCAACGTTTCTCTGCATGTTGGAAAATGTTTTCAGAATTATCATACTAAAAAGAACTATGGATCTTAGGAGTTAAATTTTTTAAATAAAACGTTTTAGTACTAATTAAAAAATATAATTGGAATAAAATGGAATAAAAATAGTGTAATAGTTATTTTAGTGCTTTCTTAAATAATAATGGTACTTTTCCGTTTCGCCGGCGCAAATCTCGCCAAGCAGACTTTATTGGCGACAACATACGGTATACACATAAAAAATATTTAAAAAATGTTAGTTCTAAGAATTCTTTTTTTGAAGGCATAAACATTTTAATATCGCTTAAAATTTTATAAAAAGCCAATAAATAAAGACAATAAATTTGTAAAAAGACATTAATTTAAGAATTTACTATGCTTTCATGGTTCAACATCCTGATTCGCCGGTTCATATCACGTGACCCCAAGAGATCTCATCTCACGTAAACTACTCTACAAAAATCAAATGCTCTCAGTAATTATCTACATTAATTTCAAGTTAAATCTTAATTTGGAACACAAGTTTAAATGCAAGAAATATTCCAATTCGTACGAATAGCTTACACAGAAATTATGTAAAACTGCAGTGCTTTACTTTCGCTAATGCATTCTCATTAGAATTGATGAATTTAACCCTTGACTTTACCTTTTCTATATTTTCGGCTTCGGGTAAGCGCTGTGATTGCATCCTAATTGACTTAATTACCGAAAATGGCCTTAGACATAAAAAAAACTGAACTATCTGATAAAATTCTATGTAATTATATGCCAGTATTGAAAGAAACAATCAATCTGATAAGAAAAAGCTGCCACTTGTTTTGAAAATGAGGCGTAAAAGGTTACCAGCAAGAATATTCCGTTTGGCATCGGTTGTACCATTATTGGCGACTTTATCGCTTGCGCCAGCAAAACGGAAAAGTACCATAATAATTATATACCAACTACTTATGTTTCGAAAATTTGTGTAAATATCACCGTTGGCGAGTAGTAGAAACTGCGTGAACTGGCGACAGCGTAATGGTGCTTCGATAAATGCTCGGTCTGCAAAGTGTTAATAAATGCAATTATTATGTCAGTACAACAAATTAGTCAATCATTGGTTTATTATACCAGTATAAGAAGTTAGTGAATCATCATATTCTTTCATGTTAATCGTTCTTGTATTTAATTTCTCAATTGCATAATTCTGCAGTCCAAAAAAATAAATAAAAAGAATGGATATGATAGAAAATACTAAGCTAACTGTTGGCAAAAATTAAAAAACCCTTAGCTGGTACAACACTCACTGCAAAAGAATTTTTCACTTATTAGTGACCAATAATTAGTGAATCTGAAAGTGATGAAGAGAATTCTGTGGCAAATGATTGGTCAAAAGTTGATTTTAAACCTTAACTCGCAATGAATATTTCTTTTCTGCCATATAGTCGATTTGATGCATTACTTACACAGTATGTTTACCTAAGAATTAACTACAATACTTTACAGAAAAATTTTAAAAAAATCACTTCATATGTTGTTTATAAATTCTGTATCATCTGTGTTTTATTAGTTACGTGTAAAAAAAAAAAAAAAAAAAAAACTGGTGTCTGTGAAAAGCTAAATTAAATCACAAAATGATGTGTTCTAATATTAAACAAAATAAAATTGTGCATACCTTTCACTACAGATGCGGCTGTGTATATGTCTTTCCTATGAGTAACCTAGAACAATTAAATATATCTTAATATATTCATAATTGCTTATATTAGCATTTAAATACTAAATCTGTCTTTAAGAATACATTTTTAAATTACAAAATCGTCAAGTTAAAACAAAAGCTACTAATTCCACATTTAAAATTTTTGATTTCATGTATAAATATAAATAGAATGATATGAACATAAATTCCCTTATTTTCCCACTTGAGGGTACATGGAAGATAAAGATCTTGCGCTTTGGCAGTCTTTAACAACACTTGCCAAAAGCTGTTTGTAGAAATTCTTCCTTTTATCCATCTTGACTGCTGATATCTCAGGTATGATTGTGTCTGAATTTTATTTTACTAGGATGAGATTTTTAGTAATAACTGAAAGCTCTCTTCTCTCTTTAAAAGTGTTACGAAAAGCACATTTTAAATTTCAGTTCATAACTATATCTATTTATTCTATATACCTACTATCAAATTCCACATTTAAAGGCACTCCCTCTTACATTTATTCATTTTTACATCCTGAGAAATGCCTTTTTATAAATTCCTTAGTACAATTTTAACTTACAAATACAGACATAAATTTAAAAATTATGTCAAAAATATATATTTGGTAATTTGTAAAATGTACTTAAGAGGGGGGAGATAATATGCAAAGAAACATGTTCAATTAATATTCTAAATATGAATAAATATAAAAGTCATACCAATGACTACTTCAAAATAGCAATACAGTATATAACTTCTACATGTAATTTTACGGTTGATCTTAAAAATATTCACAAAAAAAGGATTCTGTAGATAAGAAATTATCATAAGTAAATTAGGAAATTTCATAAACATGCACAAATGTCTGAGCACAGTTTAAAATCTTTACTTTTTAAAGTTGATCCTGACAAAAAATATACATTACAGCTAATTATTACACTCAAAATAAAAGCGAGTTATAACTCTTAGGTTCTAAGTCATATTTAAGAACCTTAAGAAGCAATTATGTTTTTAAACATGATGTCAAAGCAAAGATGATTTATTACAGCTTTGTGTATTTCCTAATATCTTACAAAATTAAGGAATCAAAAGATAAAATAATAAAATCCAAATGAATTTCAATGAAACTTTGCTCCATGCATATTTTTTTTTTGGGGGGGGGCACCTTTTTCTTAAAAACGTGGTAGTAAATTTTTTTTAGCTTTTTTTTTTTTTTTTTTTAAATGTTGAAAATCTTACAAATATTTCAAACTGCAAGGAAATTCAACCTAAATGACTTTTAAAAACTGTTCATTGTTTCTATACATTACATACTGAATATTAAAATTAAAAAAACTTTTTGAATAAATGACAAAAAGTTTTTTCAGAAATCCAAATTGATTAACTTAGGAAAATTCTACCTTCCATAAATTAGTTGTTCCAGGTAGAAGTTTTGCTCTAACACTTGCATATTTTTGTATAAGATGAAGGCACTCTGTTCCATGCTCTAAATCATATGCAGAACACTAAAAAAATCAAGATTTAAATCAATCAATTTATAAATGTCTAGATTATTCGCTTGTAGAAAGCATATCTAATCACATTCATTCTTCCAAAATTATAATTGAAGATTAAAGCATGCTACACATAAGATTGATTCATTTTTATAAAACAGGAAGAAAATAATAATGAACTCTATAATTTAACGCTGTGTAACTTTGCCAATTTCTCACTTGGAACATGAATACATAAGATAAACCCAAATTTTATTTATTGAAATAATGAAAAATGAGAGGATTACATTGATTTTTGTTTCAAACTGAAAAATGAAAATAATAATGAAGATGTATATACTTAGAAAAATTTTCAACAGAAACACACATTTCATTAAACAAGACAAAAATAAACAAAATTTTTTGCAAATTTTTAATATAAAGTCAATCATTTCTGAAAACAATTTAATTCATTTGTATATATACGAAAAATTGCTGATGATTACAAACCTCTGCATATGCTTTACATAGGAAATCATACCGAAATGCCTGGGGCATTTCACTAGCCTTGAATTTATTTCGATCTAAAGAACAATCTAGGAAACCTTCCTCATCAACTGCTATGACCGTTGAAATCAAAGGGCAAGTAACACCAGCAGCCTAAGGTGGAAAAAAATAAAATAGGTTTATAAAAAATTTTCATTCTTAAATGTCATTTTAGATGGAACACTTGAAACATTACAGTGTGCATATGATGAAACACTTTTCAGGATTTTAACAAAGTGGTAAACTTCAAGGTGGTAACATGCAAGTGTTCAATAAAACATGTTCTAGGCACATTATCTATTGTGCAGTTATGGATGTCAACATCAGATACCAATGAGCAGACAGTGAATTATCCCTATAATAACTTAGGTTAGAGAAAGTTCACCAGTCAGAAAAATTCAGTTTTCATAAGTAAAGACAAAATTGAGAGTACTTTTCATTTCAATGAGACAATTTATAAGGAATGTTTTCCTGAAGAATAGATAGTAAACTCTATATTTTATAAAGACATAATGAACATACTTCTGAAGAGAATTCAGCATATTGGGCCTCAGAAACTCAACGAAATAACAGGTTCCTGTCGCAAAATTTAATTCTTGGTAAGTATTTTGTAATAAAGAAAAACATAGCTCTCCACCACCCTTCACTTATTTACGACATGTGTCATCTGCATACTATCTATCTCCCCTCTGAAGAGAAGTCTTAATTCAAATGTTATTTTAATAGTACAAGAGATTCAGAAAACCACAGTCATGGATCAGACAGTATCCCAAAAGATTATATATGTTCAGATCAGTATAAAGATTCAGTATTTTGTTTTATGTAATTTTAAATTTATAAATGAGTTACTTTAATGTGGTTAATGATTTATTTGCAATACTTTTAGCATTGTTTTCATTTGCTTATAAAGATTTACATTATTGTCTGCTTTATTAAGAAATTTATTGATTCTTTGCCAAAATTTTAAATGTAGACAAGATAAAAAACTTTAAAATGTTCCAAGAAAAATTCAAAATTATCTTTATTGACAAGAATAAATTTACCTGTTTAATATATGGCAACAAAAAAATTTCTCATTGATAAATACTACTTTTTTTTCAGAAATTATGCAGTAAAAATGGTATTTCTAGCAATGATAAATTAACTATATTTAAAGACATTTTAAAAGGCAAGACCTTGTCAGGTTATATCTGTGAATAAGTTGAAATTGAGGATATGAATAGATTAAAAGAAAAATAACACAGGCTAGCAGAGCAAGGGAGAGTAAGAGAGTTAACTCCACATCTCAGCAAAAGAGTATTGATAGAATTGAATTCTTTGTTTAAATTCTGGACTGCGATTGGAAAAGAGCTTTACTGCATTGCAGGATTAAATGACAACATAATGCATATTATGACAAATTTCAGATTCCAGGAAGATTTAGATTCCAGGAAGGGGGCGTAGCCAAAGTAAAATCAAGAATTAAAAGGACTATTACAAAATTAAAGTTAGTAATTCTCTTTCATATTTTAAATCTTATATATATATATATATATCAGAAAATGAGAAATCAAGATCAAAGGTACACCCCACATTTCCACCCACAATGTGAAAGCATAAATGAAAAGTACTGTACATATATATTATATGTACATTAATGTTTGACATCGTTTTTACCCCAAAACACTGTGAAAATTTTCAAGTAATTTTTGGCTGAATTTCGCAGTGATGTTTTTTGGCTAATTTTATTAGTTGATTTATTTTTCGAACTTTACAACTCATTATTGCACAAAGTTTGAGTTAAGTTGTAAAATAAAACAATAAAATAATTTATCCACCTTCATTTGATCTTTATTTAATGTTATTTATTTATTTATTATTTAATTTTGTTTAATGTCCATTTAATCTTATTGTCAAGTCTCACAATGTATTACAACTTTAAAGTTGAATTTATTCTTTAATTTTTATTTTTCCAGTTTCATTCCCATGTAAGTAATACTGTAGCAAGTTTCATACATTCGCTTAATACATTCATTAGACAACTGGGGGCTTACTAGTACATGTATATATAAACTGTAGCGTAGATCAAAATGATGTAAAAGAATTTGAATACGGTAGTTTAAACTACACAGATTTTTGTGATGCTGAAAACATACATAATAAGTCAACAGCAAAATAACACCAGTACACAAAAAATGAGGAAATGTGCTGAAGTGCAAAATAGTAAATAAGAGATGAATAAATCCACTATTAACTAAAATCATGTATCATGCTCTATCTCACTGAATAAGGGGGTTCATGAGTTGTCCACCTTAATACATATGCATACACACACCTACAAATATCTACATGAATTTATATATACATTTTTATGCATTATATTTTTAGTTTAGGTTTTGACTTTTTTAGTTTTTATTAAGTGATATGTATAGGATTATAAATATATGTGAGCATGTATGTATACATATATAAATACAAAATAAAGTAATTAAATTTTAATTAAATATAATTAATAAATATAATTTTAATTAATTATAATAAGAAAAATTTTTAAATACCATCTCCAAGGAACAGAAATTCAATTTAAAACCATGACTAATCTGTGATCAATGACAATAGCTACTTTTTCAATACTTAAAATTTACTTTTGGTTCTGGTACTTTTGTGATTAAAGACTTTTGTTAACAAATTTTTTAAACAGGAGATTGAAATTCAAAACGTCATGAAGAAAAGAATGCAAGGCGAAAACGTCATAGTATAAAACATCATGGGAGAAAAGAAAGCAAAGAGAAAACATCGCAGTTCTAAAGCATCATGATACAAAATATCGTCGTCGAAAATAAGGCGGTTAAAAAACGACAGTTTGAAAAGATTGTCGATGGAAATATCATGGTAAAAAATAAAGTATCTAAAAATCATTGCATGACGATAACATCACAGACATGCCTTTTTCAGGCTTTAATAGTTGTAAAATTTTGCATAATGATTTGTGAACACAAGATATAAAGAAGGATAATTTTTACTTTTATATTTTTTATCAATTAATAAACATTTGCTGAAAATGTAAAATGGAAACATAAGCATAGAAAATTAATGCAACTTATGACACTTAACAGAATTTTAAACTGACATAGTTAGCTAACAAAAGTCATTAATAAATTATTTTTAATAAAGTTTTACTGGTAATTTTTCATGAAAAGCATAATCTAAAAAAGAGTAGAAAAAGAAAGATAAGTAACTGCATGACCTTATCTATACAAAATTTGCTAAGTTAATTTGAGATTATTTTCTTCACTTTTGTTAATCTGATACTCTACAGTGAAAATTATTTCTTGTTTTATTTAATTTCTTTTTTTGTTTTTTAAAATGTATTAGTTAATAAAAAATATGAATGTGAAAATTATCCTTCTTTCTATCTTGCACTCACAAATCATAATGTGAAAATGCATTTACAATTATTAAAGCCTTGAAAACGCATGTCTGCGATGTTATCGTCATGCGATGATTTGAAGGTATTTTTTACCCCGATATTTTCGATGGCGATGGTTTTAAACTGTGAAGTTTTTTAACCGCTTTATTTTCTCCCACGATGTTTTGTACTGTGATGTTTTCGCCTCACGTTGTTTTCTCCAAGACATTTTGGTCCACGATGTTTTCTGCTGCAACCGGTTTACACACACACACACACACATATATATATATATATCAAGAGAAAGAGAGAGAACATGTAACTAAAGAAGTATCTCCTACGAAATGTGAAGGAAAATTTAGATAGAAAATGTATACTTTTGTGGAAATCAAAAGTTATTATTTGTAATAAATTAAACTAGAATTGGTAATTTAAAAATATTAAATTAATAAAATAATAAATAAATAATTTAAAGATTTAAAACAATAAAATCATTGTTGATTCCACAGGAAGATCCTTACATTTCAAGGGGAGTTGGAATCCCTCTATACAATCACCAACAATTCATAAGGATTCCATTTCTGAACAAAATCCCTTTTCCAATTTTAAATTTGCTAGCCAAAAGAAATGTATTGATTAGCAAGTTTAAAACTGGAATAGAATTTTGTTCAGAAATGTGAAAAGACAAAACACGATCCTTCATTCCTGGGGAATGAACTACGATTTTATTGTTTTAATTGTTTAAATTTACTTTTATTAATATAGCATTTTAAATTACCAATTCCAATTTAATTAATTACAGATTCCAATTTTTGATTTTCACAACAGTACACCTTTACTATCTAAATTTTCCTTCATATTTCCTAGGAAATAATTTTTCCTTTATATATTCTCTACTAAATTAAAATTTAATTTCAACAGTGAAAGCGCAGGAACTTTTTATGTTCTTTTTAAATAAATTTTGAAATTCCTTAAGTTGAAGGATTTTTGTTCTCCTTTTACTTATTACTATTTTTACTACTTTAATTACTTCAAAACACTTTTTCCTTATATAGTATAATCAAGGTTACTTTTTCCGGCTTACTCAATCTTTATATGTATATATTAGTTATTTTTATCTCTTCACTAAACCAAAGTCAATAACTCGGTTCTCTTCTCTTCCAAGGAATAATTTCTATTTGATTACCACAGAAACCAAATTCTAGCACAAGTATATTAGCTTTATAAATATACATTATGTTTTCAACAATACCTGCAATTGATATTCTTTCTCTTGGATAGCACAAAAATTCACATTTAATTTTTATATAAAATAATTAATAAATAGCTTATTACTGACAATAATTTTCCAGTTTAGTCTCATATTTAGGCAATTTCATAGCAATGTCACTTGCTAAAAAGTTGTTATGAGGATCTTTTATCATTTAGGTTTGTTATGTGATATTTAGAAATAAATCTTCAAACCAAAATTTATTTATGTTTATAAAAGTAAAATGTAAAATGCATATTTTCTACTACTCATCAACATCACAGACATTTCCAATGACATAAAATGGAGATGATAAGAACATTCATACTAACAAGTGGTTTCCAACCTTTTTCAGTTAACAATACAATTAAGTGAAACATACAATCTTACCACATAATGATCTGAATTTGAATTTTTATTATTAATACCATGAATATTTTATTAACATGAATTATTACTATGAAGTTTTCACTTAGT